ATAGCACTACATCCCAGGTACCTACTGTATATAGTGAGGTATTCATATCAGTACAGCCCTACTTTATAGCACTACATCCTAGGTACTGGCAAAATATCATCACCCTAGGCCTACTGTTTGCTCAGGAGAAATTGTTCTTTTCTCTAGGCCTCTTGATTTTTCAAAGAAAATATTTTTAATAGTTTGAACACATGTGCGGCTCTTGTGTTCTTGAAAGTAGGTCAAGGTCATTTATTTGAGGAAATTTTATTGGACGCCATGCCAGGTACCTATTTGCCAAGTATCATAACTATTGACATCCTTGTTATTTAGCATAAGTTGCTGAAAGGTTTTTACATATTTTACTCCTTTGACCTTGATTGTAGGTCATGACCCTAGGTCTTCCGGATCCAGAAAAAGTCTTTCTAATAAAAGATTGAATACCTTCGTGCCAGGTGAGCTAAAAATTGAATTTCATTTTCTATTTTTTCTATATACACAAACTCCTAGTGAACATCGATTATATATCCTTGTAGAAATATTGAAGGTTATGGAAATGAATTTGAACACTACAGCTTACACCAATGCAGCTAAATATGCCGACTTATTCTTCAAAAAGGCAAGAAATTCCTACCACCCATAAAGTATAGTTTGTTTACAGAACTGTTAGATAATAAACCATTTCAAAGTTTTCTATAAACAACAAGCAATAAACCCTGCACAAGCAATGTCTTCATTTCACAAGCTGTCAGAGTCATTCCTCGTAATTAAACATAACACTTCACACAAATACACACAAAAATGGAGGATACTCCATGCAATCTTACCGCCAGATGCGATTGTGTCCTTGGAGCCAGCTGGAGTGCTGTCCATTGTGCTGTAGCCGCTGGAACACTGGAGTGAGTTCTGGCTTGCCATGCTAGGCATGTCATAGGTTGATTGTAAAGCGGCTGTGGATGCCTCCAATTCTTTAATAGCCTCTGCAAGCTCCAAAGAATTCTGCTTTATCTGCTGTCAAACAAAAACAGTCGAAATGTAAGATTAATATTATTGAAGTTTTGGTGAGTGAGTCATCTGATTAAATTTCAAATGAAGTCAAGTAAACTTGTTTAGTTTTTGTTTCGAGTCATTGAAATGTAAATGACCTCGAAAATATGCCATTGGTTGAAATATACGTAACAATGGTACATGTACGTACGTACTTAAAAACGCTTCAAATATCGAAGATTTTTGGATCCTTTACACCTAAGATATATAAAACTTAAAGAGATCCTTGAGGGAAATTGATCTGAACTGTCGCAAGATATTCATTAATTCTGTGTAATTTTGAACTTTTCTCTTCATTTCTCTGATTTTTTATTTTATCTGTTGGATTTATCATTTGTCCAAAAGTTGATGTACCTTTTGGCAACTTTTGATTTCCATACTCACTAAACTTAACTCTCAAAATAGGGCAGCTGGCGGCCGTATTGTTTTTTCAGTCCTAGGATTAAACATACTCAGCTATTGGCCAAAGGGAACCTAAAGTACTTTTTGAGAAATAGTGATAACAAACTTGAACTTTAAAAATCTAAGATTACTACCTAGCAGCCAACTTGTTTTTCTGATCAGTAATAACAAGAGGCCCAATGGGCCTGCATCGCTCACCTGGTATTAATCTCATACTTGTAATCTTAAAAGTTGACTAAAATACAGCTACAGGCAGAATATCAGTGTTTGATTCATAAGAACCTATTAAAAGATTTAAACATATGACGCCTGTGACCTTGAATATCGAACAAGGACATCAGGTTGAAAGTGGATCAAGGTCATTCATTTGAACAAACTTGGTAGTCCTTCATCCCAGCATGCTACAGGCCTAATTTCAGTACCCTGGGCCTTTTGGTTATTGAGAAGTTGTTTTAAGATTTTAAAACATTTGACCCCTGTGACCTTGAAAGTTGTCATTTGACCCCTGTGACCTTGAAAATTGGTCAAAGTCATTCATTTTAACAAACTTGGTAGGCCTTCATCCCAGCATGCTACAGGCCCAATATCAGTACCCTGGACCTTTTGGTTATTGAGAAGAAGTCGATTGAAGATTTTAAGACATCTGACCCCAGTGACCTTGAAAGTGGGTCATGGTCATTCAGTTGAACAAACTTGGTAGCCCTTCATCCCAGTATGCTACAGGTCCAATATCAGTACCCTGGGCCTTTTGGTTATTGAGAAGAAGTTGTTTTAAGATTTTAAGACATTTGACCCCTGTGACCTTGAAATTGGTCAAGATCATTCATTTTTATAAACTTGGTAGCCCTTCATCCCAGCATGCTACAGGCCCAATATCAGTACACTGGACCTCTTGGTTATTGAGAAGAAGTCGATTTAAGATTTTAAGACATCTGACCCCAGTGACCTTAAAAGTGGGTCATGGTCCTTCATTTGAACAAACTTGGTAGCCCTTCATCCCAGCATGCTACAGGCCTTATATCAGTACCCTGGGCCTTTCGTTTATGGAGAATAAGTTGTTTGAAGATTTTAACATATTTGACCCCTGTGACCTTGAAAGTGTGTCAAGGTCATTTATTTGAACAAACTTGGTAGCCCTTCATGCCAGCATGCTACAGGCCCAATATCAGTACCCTGGGCCTTTTGGTTATTGAGAAGAAGTTGTTTGAAGATTTTAAGACAT